GCTGCCGCCATTTGTGAAAACTTGACCAGTGACTGAAGCCAAAAACAGCTGGTGTCTTGACAAAATAATCACCCAGTGATACTTAAGAAAAATATTCCTTGTAATGAAATGAAGTGGGAAAAATCATGCATTGATTAAAAAATATTGATGTCAACACATTTTGAGCGTTGACGTCATGGATTGTGGTGACTCATCGCAACAGCCCTAGATATCAGAGCATTACAGCATCAGGCTGAGAATGTCCCTGCCAACACAGAGGATAAAGAAAAGGACCACACACAAAAGAAAGCACTTGAAACCTACAACTATCCCAACTGGGCCTTTATGAAGTCAGCAACGAGAGCTGGGAAAAAAACAGAACATTAAACAGAAAAGAATAGAAGAACAGGAGGCCATTCTCTATGGAGCTGGTGTGTCTAACAAACATAGAAGAGTTTTTTTCCAAACACAACATACTGGTGCACTTCAGACCCAGCAGCACTGAGATAAAACTGGTTCACCCTAAGGATAAAAAATTCAAACACAAGCTGAGGGGGTTTACAGCACCGCTTGTGAGGTAATTATAACACAGTCTTGAGATCTCTTGGATGAGAGATGAAATGTCTTTAAGAGCGAAAAGAGAAGTTCAGTTGTCTTGTGCTGAAGCTCTCAGAACTTTGTAACAACTATAAACCAGTCCAACCAAAACAACTAAGCATTGCTCTCTGTTAGATCATGTTTTCTTTGTCTTTTCATCTTCATGTTATTAACCAGTATGACTGCCATACGCTTGCAGTATTATTATACTGTTTCTCTTTCACTGCCCTCACTTAGATGGCCCTCTAAGTAAGTATTCAGTGTATAATTCTGTGTACGATAAAAGCCAAACCTTTTCAAAGAGGCAGTGACCCATAAACTAGGGAACTCAGGCTCACTAGGACTCTGTGTTAGGACAGAAAGGTGGATTTTTCCCATGAGGTGAAACTATTGATTTGGTCGAGTAAATATCCTAAATGGAAAAATGCTCTCCATAGTGTCAACAAAATCTGTTTATAATTTTTCAATAAGAAGTTCATGTTGTGTGAAAGATAAGACATGGTTTTGCAGCCTATCATGTGTGTAAATTCCCCAGTAAAGGCTGCATCTCCCTGGTAAATGTAGTGGAAAAAAAATCATACAGTGTGCACAAACTAAATATCTGTTCACAGACAGAAATGTTGATTGTCTTACCACTAAGTAATATCTTAAATATTATTAAAATAATACATAACTTCTACTAGCAATATACTGAGGATAACAATGTGCACGTCACTGCCTCTTTTTCAATGTTTAGTGAGAAGAAGCCTTTATTTGTCACAAATAGTGGCTCGTTCCTTGTGGTGTAGATATAAAAAATACTAGTGCATCTGCCTTAAACCCAGTGTAGCTCTGCATACATATGTGTGGTGTAATGTTTGTGTGGATATTTGTGTGGAAAAGTAAGCCTACCCTTAATACATAGATAATCTTTTAGGTTTAGGACTGTTTCCCTCCCTGTCGATCAGTTTCATAAGTAGACAAAAATGCCAGATGAACACAACCCTAGTCATTTTTTTTTCTGTTTTTGTCAGTATGTCAGCTTACCATAAACAGAGATTGAAGGAGGAAAAGAAGGCCAGCCTGGAGCAGCGCAGGAATCGGCTCAGGGCCATGCTTCAAGAGGAGCAAAACCGGCTGGAGGCGGAGCTCCGGGAAGTAGTCCCTGACAGGATCACCTTGGCAAGTCAGCTGGTAGAGAAAACTGAAGAGCTTCGTACGGCAAGAGAGGAAAGAAGGAAAAAGGTAGCTGCAATAAATTAGTAGCATGTTTTCTTATCGGTAGTGATCATGGTGTTCTGCCATTTAAGTGTATAATCCCTGATATTCGTTATCTCCAGCTTGCACAGGAACTGCTGAGGGAGCATTGGAAGAAAAACAACCAAGAACTGCGAGAGGCAAGTTTAAACAACTGATGCTAAAGTGACGAGTTGTGAAACTTTAAAGTTGATGAAGTGATGAATGGCGTCAGGAAACTTGTGACGATGTGACGATCCCGTACGTCTGAAGAGCCCAGCGAGTGGAGAAAACAGACACTTTTTGTGCAGAAGTCCATTTGATCTGGAAACCAATAAGGCTTGTGATGCAGATATTCCATGACTTTCTGTAAACCTGAGTCCAGTGTTGACTCAAGTGAATAAAATGTTCTAGTATCCCTTCCACTCAGGGTCAGGTTCATCAGTATCTCTGTGTCGGCTATGTCGCAACTCACTCTTTTAATCTGTCTGCAGGTCGAGTCAGCATTACATAAAGATCATGTTGTTGGCCGATGGCAGGAACAGATATCTGAGAAGAAACAGGTACGACAATAATTCCAGCTGTCAGACAAGTTTCTGGTCATTACAGTGTTTTAATAACTTTATTTCTGACCTGTATATACACTTTGTCACATTTATGATGATACAAGTTTATTCAAACCAAATTGGTTAAAAAAAAAAATTGCCTGTCACTCCAGTGCTGTGTACTGTCACCTCCTGTGAGCCAGTGATGACACCTAAGACCCCAGCCGCTAAACTTGTCATTATCCTTTTACATGACCAATTATTTATGCAACAAGCCCATTTTTAATTAAACACTGCTCATGCATTCTGTGAACACAGTATCAAGTCTGCAATCTAGTCTGGTTAATCTCCTCAACATGCTACATAATTGAGAAAGTTTTGACACCTACTGTAAGTGACCCATCTCGTCAAACACGCAGAAACAAACGGCAGAACAGGCGGAGAAGAAACGCTTTGAGAATGAGTACGAGAGGACCCGAAAAGAGGCTCTGGAGAGGATGAAGCAAGCAGAGGAGCAAAGGAAAGCAGAGGAGCGTAAGAGAGCAGAGGAGCTTTGCCAGCAGATGGAAGAACTCAAGCTGAGAGAGGAAGAGGTATTCGAGACTTCAGCAATATCTCTGCTATGTAAAATTAGTTTTGCAGATGTGTTTTTAAAGTATATTCATGTTTTATTCTCTGTCAGGCCACTCGTCTGAAAAAGGAGCAAGAGGCTCTGCTGATCCAGCAGTGGGAGCTGGAGAAGATGGAGGACGAAAGGCAGAAGGTGGAGGAACGGCGAAAGAAGTCTGAGATGGGGTAAGGGAAGATCTTCATGCAGGTAACTGATCGCAAATGTTGTGATACATGATTCAGGTAAGATACTGGGCTTATCGGACTTCTGTTTCACCAGGCATTTCTTGATCCGTCAGTATCGAGCTCAGCTGAGGAGGAGAGCCCAGCAAGTGCAGGAGGAACTGGTAAATCTACGTCACCTGCAGATGCTGCAACAGATTAGTTCAGGTGTAATCCATCTTTTTTTTGATTTTGACTTTCTGCTTGAACTCCTGTGTGTCCGCCAGGAGGCCGATCGGAAGATCCTGGCAGCCTTGCTTGAAGGAGAGACGGACGACAGGAGAATGGAAACGGCGCGAAGAGAAAGAGCTATTGCTGATGCTGCCTGGATGAAGCGTGTGATTGAAGAGCAGCTTCAGCTGGAGCGGCAGAGGGAGGCAGAGTTTGACATCCTACACAGGTGAGCTGTCAGAGTCAGTAATACTCTACAGGAACGGACTTCTGCTTCTCCTCAAACACAAACCAGTGTATTCTGCCTATTTTAGAGAAGAAGCTCAACGTGTGTGGGAGAAACGAGAGGCTCAGTGGGAGAAGGAGAGGAAAGCCAGAGAACGGCTCATGCATGAGGTATATTTGTTTTAAATCCTTGAGTAAAATTAAAAAGATTTGATAACTAAATTAAAAAAACAAAAAATCCTGCCTGTTTCTTGGAAAGGTGCTTTCGGGGAGACAGCAGCAGCTGGAGCTGAAGATGCAGAAGAACCGCAAGGCTCAGGAGGAGTCCCTGAAGAGACGAGAAGAGCTGATCCAGGAGCTGGAGCTGGAGAGGGAGACCAGACGTCGGGAGAAGGAGGAAGGAGAGGCCCGTCGGACAGCACGGATGCAGGAGATAAATGCACAGGTTGGCACAAGTTGCAGTGGTTTGTGTTTTTCAAGCACATTGTTTTTTGTTCTGCATTTGTCCTCACAGCATCAGACTGTATGCTTTTAAAAATAGAACAGACCTAAATGTGTTTGTGGACATAATGCAGGTGGAGCAGCAACACCAAGAGCAGTGGGAGGAGCTGTGCAGGATGGAGCAGGAGGAAGAGGAGGACAGGGAGGCCCAACGGATCCAAGAAGAGGAGCTGAGGCTTGAAATGCAGAGGATGGCCAAGAAAGGGTACCAGGAAAAGGTAAGAGATGGAGACTATTGTTTTCCTCACTCACCGTTCCAAAATAGTTCTTTAATGCTAAAATATTCTTAAAACTGTCTCTTTCAGATTCACAGCAGACCGCGATCAGCCTGGACATGAGCAACCTGCAAGACAGAAGCTCTGCGACACTGTGAGATGTAGATTTTTCTTTTATGTAATTAGCTTTAAAGAATAGGGTCATAAAACAATGTTCATATGTAAATCATAACATCTATTCTGTCAGGGTAATTACTCCTCATATCAATACTGGCAATGATAATGTGCTTTCTGACATGATGCCAGTGTGACAGATGGAGGACAGAATTCACCGACCTCAGCATTTCAAAGCTCATCAAGTCAAGTGCTGTTTTATCTCAGTACAAACCTCCTTATTGATCTCCTGGGCGGCGTCTTAATGACCCACAGCGGAGGGACAATAACACAAGAGAATTTTATTTTGACAAGACTAACTTTGGGATGTTCCCAGTGAATTAAAAAAAAATTCAGACTGATGAAGGAACATGTTAGCTTTAAAGTTTAAAATGCATTTTTGCACAGATGAAGGACTATGAATTTGATCCACCATCTTTTACGCTGGAGTTGTGTTGTGAAGGAATGATGTCACAGTCAGCATGGAGAGGATGAGCAATTTCAGCAATCAGTAGCTTTTAAAGCTACACGGGTTATTTACTGTTTTACAAAGGATCTGAAACAATCAGAACCTGTTCAGTGCCTTTGAAGAGATGAAGCATTCATGTAGGTTATGCAGGCCATGTGTCGTGCCATCCTGATGTTATTTAATGCTGGCTGCTTGCATGTTTATAGGAAAACTGATGTTTGTTTTTTTTTGCACTTTTTGACCTGTTCAAAGAGCTTTTATTTTCTACTCTGAATTTGTAGACTTTTAAGAAAAATAAAACTATTGCAAGCAAATCAATGGAGCATTTTGTATTAATGCAACAAAAAGTTACGAAAAACAGGAAGACCAAAAGGCTATAATTATAAATTACGTTTATTTAGAAAATAATTATTTTTCTGAAGTGCAGCTTAACAGCTGCATCACATACATCCCTGCACTCCATTCAAGCACAGAGAGGGACATTACTTTGATCAGATTTCAAAATGAATTCTGAAACACTGGATGAGGATGAGGATTGGGTTGCACAATAATACAGGAGACGTCTAGAGTTCTATCCCATATGTTGCACATTAAATACAAAACTAGCAGCAATGGAACAGAGCACAAAACACAAGGACATACATACAGTGTGGCTTTTAGCTCTAAATATCTTCACATCACCAACAGTGAAATGGCGCACAAGACTGTAGTGTACGGTGCAACGTGGAGCCTGTTAGAAACACACCGAATCATTAGAACTTAATGCAGCAACATCTTGGTGCTGGTGAAGAATTTAACTTGGCCCCTGAACAACTGTTACTTGCATTCATTGACTTGACAAATGGGCATACATAAATAGCTGCAATAAGTGCAGTGCAGACTGGATTACACTTGGACAGGGGACAGACCATATAAATAGTGTTTTCAATGCAACAAACATTAGCATTGCAGGGCTACAAAGTGTGCATAAACAAAGTTCCCCACATTTCATGGAAGTTAACTCGATGGTCAGTTTGTTTTTGAATATTAAACTTTACGGTATGAGGATGTTTACACAGCGCAATAAATGAGAGGAAGCTCCTTTAGCTACAAGTGTTTATAATAGCATTCAGTGACAATGATTTCATGACACATTTATGGCTTTTCAGCATCCATGTGTGGCTTTGGACTGATCGTATTAAACCTGTATCATCATTTGGATTTTCTGTACTGTGCTGTGCTTAATTCCTTCTCTCAATACAAGGTATTGACATTATGAACTTCTTAGAGTTATTTTTTTTTTAATCGAAGAGCGAGTTTACTCTCATTATTAAAGAGTAATCCACAAACGAGACATTTCTCCAGCCTGCGAGCTGGACGTTAGAGAGAAATTGTGCTACTACAATAGCTGGATATACTCCAGTAAAGATTTTCCCTTGACACTTTGCCCGATGTCACCTTTAAATATTGTCAATGCTTATTCATGAATTAAAAAAAACAACGCATGCATATACCACAAATACAAAAAACCCATTAAAAATATAGATATAAAAACAAAACTGAGATGCTGAAGGCTTTGCAGCCCTGTAAGTGCTCTTAGTTGGTATTCTCCTTTGTGGTGATGGTAACAAGCTGCTTGGCTGCCTTGGCAATGTCATAAGCACATTGGATGACCTGCTGGGTGACCAGCTGCATGTCCGGTCCCGGGCCGCCCTCTGAAGGCACCGCCTTCCGGCACTCGCCCTGAAGCCGGCACGCGCTGGAGGTCAACAAGCGCAGAGAGCCTCTCACAGTCTCTGAGCGAGGCTTCTGCAGGGGAAGGTTAAATATCTTCAAACCAACGGAAAGCATCTCTTCAAGTGCTTCTACAGATTAATGCACATCCTTTATAACCACACTGACCTCTGCTAGCCTTGGTGTGAATCTAGCTGAAACGTTCTCTAATTTACCAACCACACTCTCTTTCCTTATAACACACTTAAGAATAAGTTTGTTTTTAACATGCAAAAGTACAAGCATGTATAATCAAGTCATTGCTTTTTTATTGGCACAAAAAATGAATTAAAATAATACATCAGCAACTGGCAGAAGTAAAAAATACCGCTGCTTATTTTGAAACTTGGATATTTGTGTGTGCAACAGCTCAAAAAAATAAATAGCTAGCTGATTTATCCATTTGCTTCACACAAAATAAACACAAGATTTCCGTACCTTGGGAAAGAGGGCAGCCATTTCTGTCACAGCCACATGTATTCTTTCTGAGCAGGGTATGAAGCTGTGAGGAGACGAGATCTGTGTTAATGTCACACTCACACAGATCTCAAGATCATAAATTATACAAACTACAACTACAAAAACAGTTATACCAATTATAACTTCCAATATATTTAAATGAACTATAAATTAATCAATAGCTATCACACTAGTAAGTAAATGTACAAAGTACGGTACTATTTAGTATCCACAGCACACCATGCAACGTCATCTTCAACTTCAGGTTAACATCAACTACAAAGACATGCTATTTAACAGACATTTTGTAGCATCGTAACCACCACAAGGCACTTTTATTTTACACACAATTTTGTATTTAAAAATTCTGGCTACACAGTAGAAACATGAATACTCTGTCCGCTACGTCAGCAAGTCGCTGCCTAGATATAACTTACCTTTTCTATCTAACTAAAGTGAATTCAAAGTCCGTGCTTGAAGAGAAAAAACATCAAATGAAGGGAAGTTTTAAACTTAAAACATTCATGCATGAGGTCGCACATCACAGAAAAAGAGATGACGTGTTAGCAGGTGAGACGGAACAGAGGAAGAAACTGTGTGAGTGAGAGGAAAATAAAACTGTGCCTGGGAGGCAGGGACAGAAGCCAGAGTACCAGGAGGTGGGGTCAGGGGACCGGAGGCTGAGCGGCTGAAGGGGAGAGGGGGCCTTCTCAGCCCAGGGCACCAGAGTGCTGAAACATCCCAGGCTGTGCCTGAGCCGACGCACACCTTCACGCTCACATGGTCTGCTCACAGGAGTGAGGGATGGGAACACCGAAACAACATCATGAGAGTGGAGACACAGGGGAAGCAGAATGAGAGGGGAAGAGTGAAAACAGCCGGGAAAAAAAAAAAAAGGGGGGAGAGTGAAAACAGCCGGGAAAAAAAAAAAAAGGGGAAACGACAGAACATAAACACAACTAACTGTACCGGAATGCTGATAAAAGTAAGAGGAACTTAGGGTTTAACATGGAAACGAGGAAATGAAAGCTCACATTCAGATTCATAGCTAATAGAGAGCTGTTTCTCTTCACATGCTGACCTGTCATGTTTGTTCTCCTGAGCAGCTCGCAGCAGCTCTTGGATGTTCTTGGTGATCTGCTCGGTTTTGCGGATGACGTCCTCGGTGCTGGGAAGCGTGGGGTCTGACTCCATCTCCAGGTCATCCAGCTCAGGGATGGAGCTGCCTTCTCCCAGCCAGCCACTGCTCCTCAGCCTCCCTCTCCTGCTGAAACTGCCAGGGGGAGAAAAAAAAATATCACAAGGAATCAGGCCTTCTGCCAAAACCCCTGTTTATAGTTTTTAATAATTGAACTATATTTGAAACCTCTTAAGAACTCCAGAAAACTGTTTTGCCCTTCACTCTTCAGTTAGTGTAATCCGTTTTACTGGGTGATGCACTTACCCTGAATCGTCCATTTCAGAGTCATTGAATGTGTTGTCATAGTCGCTTTCTGGCATGCTGCTTTGCTTCTCTAACTTTGAGGCCTGGAAAGAAGAGGAACGGCATAAAAATAATAAAATAAAATAAACCCTCATAATGGGGAAGACAACCCATGTTACTGACGATACAAACCAGAACCAGCTGTGGTGAAATCCCAATTTCAATACTACATGTCAAATGAATCAACAAAAACACATCTTGCAAATGTAATCCTGTCCGCCAACATGAAACGGTGCAACGATGTCAAAGTGGGATATAAACAAGTCAGAGTGATGCAGTTGACTGAACAGAACAAGGCAGGAAAGCTGTGAAGCGAGAGCACAATCAATTTAAAGAATTCGATACAGGATTAGTAAAAACAGATTATGCAGATTGTGTATTTAGATCAGGATGACATATTACAAAGCTGCTGAAAAAAACAACCCTTATCTTCTTTCATTCAAATGAAAATGATCATCAATGTGTTTTAAATTAACGTTAGCTTGTGTATGAAATGTATTTCTGTTCCTGAAGTAAGGGTGGATTCATGTGTGACAGTTAAAACGGTCAAACAAAAAGCCAACACTCAGAATCAGCAACAAATGTCTAGAAACATTACATCATGACGGCATGACACACGCTTTAGTCATTCTCCAAACTAAAGAGAACCCCAGAGGGTCATTATTTCTGAATGGGAAGTCATGGTTCAGATGAGCTCATGAGCAAAACTGAATCATACACACGAAAGGAGTAGTTTATCTTCACACAGGATCGGCTTCACTGTACCTTTATGCAGTTTCACCGTCACACTCACAGCTACGTTTAAAAACAGGAAGCACAGACAAACAAGTGCACACATGCCGCACGGGCCTATCGTACGGCATCTTCATACCCCGCTGATCTACGTCCAAGAATCCAAACAAAGTCCTCTTCTTGCATGCTGCACAAGATGCACAACTAGGCTCGCTTTAGGAAATGTGATTAGCGCATACGTCTTGAGATAAATCTCAGATGATCAATCTCTTCAGACTGCAAACCACTCCTGGATCACCACTGCGTTTGGGTGTTGCTGCAGAAGTCAGAGCATGCCGATCGAAGCTGACTGTGCAAAAATAGCCAAGAGTTTGTTAGAGACTAGGTGAGGAGTGCCTCTTGATGCTGAGAGTATTTAAAATGAGGCAAATAAAACTGTCTAAAATATACATTTAACAAGCAAATACACAAAGTGTCCAATGTACCTCCTTTGTGTTTACAGACAGGTTGATGTTCTATAAAGTCAAACACCATCAACAACCAAATGTTTTCAACATCGTGGTTTCTGCTGCACAGAAAGAAGACATTAAAATTAGCAGCTGCTGCATCACAAGCGCAACTTTCTGCTCAACGTTCACGGCAGAAGTTTCGCCTTTACAAAACCACACAGTTCTACTTGTTTAGCCGCGCAGTGGGGATGATGCTGATGAAGGCGGGTGTCTGATGGTGAGGGCAGCCAGTGGAGGGATGGCTCATGCAGCAGGGCAGATAAGGAGCAGGAGAGCAGAGGGAGGTGAGGGAGGAGGAACAGGTAGAAACGGGCTCCAGGTAGGTTTGCCGAGTCCCACAAGGTGTGGACCGAGCGAGGATGTACTTAACCTTTTGAGCACTGTCGTCCTTCGACCAAGACAGGGTGGATGGAAATGAGGGGAGGGATGAAGAGGTGGTCACAAAAGCGCCCCTTTCCGTCTAAAGACAGGGTTTAAATCACATTTTAAGCACACAGATTTCTGAAATTTAAAAAAAAAAGAACCGTTTAAACAGGCTAAAAAATATATTTTAAGGGAGACTCGATGTCCGATATGTCTCCTCCAACCAGGTGGGGCTCAATCAGAAGCTGTACGGTGAGAATGGAGTTGATGGAAACTGTGACCATGACCGTTAAATTCAGGATGTAAAAATTCTGCTCTTTTAGAAGGGTGAACTTCTGACATCAGTATTTAGTCGGCAACTCAAAAGAGCTCGGCTGTTTCTACAGATCATCCTCCTACATTTATTCCCTGAACCTTAAATCATTTTCTTTTTGATTAGTGTCCCGTTAAATATAGAAGTAAAGAGGTTAGCAACTGATTCAGAGAGAGAAAACTACTAGAAAAACATAATTTACCTCCGTAAAAGTCTCAATCAAACTGAGAGTTGAGAAGTTAAAGTGAGTGTGTGAATTCATCATGCATTACAAAAACACAGAGTATTTGTATGGTAGTTTTAATGCTTCATCAACATAACACACAGTACAAACCTTCAGAGTTTATCACAACAACAGCATCTCCCTGCTCGTACAGCTAAATTCCGTCTAACAAAGAAGCAGCTCTCCCGTAAACAACAGATACATGCAAATAACGTGTGGATGTTTCTGAACTGGCCAGAATGGGTTGTGACTGTTAAATACATGACATTGTGCTTTTTGATGATTCAGTGTTTGATGCAGCAAAAAGATACCCAGTGGCAAATGAGTAAGATATAAAAAAAAAAGGAAGTGGGAAATGTTGCAGAC